TAATTTTTGTTGGGAAATAAAATTGTCTTAGTTTAATTTTTGTTTACCATCAATATTTCTGGTGTTTCAGGTATGATATTATTATCAGTAATGACTTAAAACCATGGTTGATCGAGGTAAATGCTTCTCCATCACTGACAGCTACAACGGCTAACGATCGTATCATGAAACAGAAACTTATTGCCGATATTTTGAATATTGTAGTACCATTTGGAGAGATTCCAGAGTAAGTAAGGTTTAATTTGCTTTTTTTTTTCAGGTAAAAATACTCTGGAGCAGATAAGAAGTATATAAACATATTATAGGAAACTAAATCTCATTGAGAGAATTCAGAATTGTAACTGAATGTAACCTCTGTATTTGTAATACCACCTAAGGTCTCATGGTTACTGCCATATGTGGATCTGTAAATCTTTCCCCAATTCTATATTTGTGGTTATACACTAACTAATTTTCATTTATTGTACAATCATGTATGAGTAGGACAAAAAATATTCAATATATATTCATCTAATGAATAGGGAGGATAATTGACTTTAAGGTAGGAGGAGAAATGACTTTAAGGTAAGAAGAGAAATGACTTTAAGGTAAGAGGAGAAATGACTTTAAGGCAAGAGGAGAAATGACTTTAAGGTAAGAGGAGTAAATGACTTTAATGTAAGAGGATAAATGACTTTAAGGTAGGAGGAGAAATGACTTTAAGGTAGGAGGAGAAATGACTTTAATGTAAGAGGATAAATGACAATAAGGTAGGAGGAGAAATGACTTTAAGGTAAGAGGAGAAATTACTTTAAGGTAAGAGGAGAAATGACTTTAATGTAAGAGGATAAATGACTTTAATGTAAGAGGATAAATGACTTTAAGCTAGGAGGAGAAATGACTTTAATGTAAGAGGATAAATGACTTTAAGGTAAGAGGAGAAATAACTTTAAGGTAAGAGGAGAAATGACTTTAAGGTATAATTTGGATGATATGAAGTTATGTTAGCAAGAAACATTTGTATATGTGCTGAATTGTTTGTGTATTACAGCTAGTGAAACCAGGCTACATGTGACTTTAGGATATTGCACTTACAGAAGCTATAGTCCTGCCAGCTGTCTGATTTAACACATTCTTCAAGATGTCTCATTGGTCTTAAAAAGATGTCTTGAAAGCAACTTGCTTCTCCCAAAGAAGCTGATAAACATATGATGCTTGCAGTATCATCCTGCCCTCATTACTTGGGTCTACTGTGGACACGTTAACCTAATACCAACATTCACTGACGTACGGTTATCTGCTGTTTATTTATAAACACATTGTTCCAAGAGTTGGCAGTGATGATTATCTACTTTCCCCTTTAGTCACTTGCTGCTAATTAGGAATGGCTGGCGTAGATACACCTTGAGTAGCTTTGTGTGAAATTCAAAACAAAATGAAGAAACAAGTCATTGTTTTAAGCAGTGTATTTGAAATAAATGAACAGATTTTGAAAATATAGTTGTTATTGTTTGAGAAATAAAAAATTTGGAATGAAAGAAATAAAATTTGAGTAGGCTTTCTAGTGTTTGTATGGGTTCCCATCTGTTTATTCTAAAATAATTGGGTTCTTATCTGTTTATTCTGCTTTTACAATCCATAGTTTAAGCATTTATAAAACGTATCTTCCAGTTTTTGTTTACTTGTATGTTTCTCTACTATTATCTGTGTAAGAGGGTAGAATTTGATAAAACTTCTGTTTGATGTCACTTATTTCTAAATGCAGTTTTAAATTAAACTGTTTTGTTGTTATTATTCTAACAATGTTTTTTCTGCAATTTGTAATTGAAAGTAGTCAGTGAAATAATGATTATTTGAAATACATTTGATAAATGTGTGATGTATTGTACAAAGCTTACTAATACTTTATAAGTTGCTAAAAAAGGGATCTTACCAAGAGGTATTATTCTTCCTTCTGATAAAATCTTTGAGTAAGAATATTTTCAACATAATGACATAGTTATGTACAAGATTTGCTTTGAAACTTAGCATTTTATTCAATCATCTTTGGTCAAATGTATAGTTGAGAAAGATGTATACTTCTTTTTTTGAAATAAAAGATTGTACATGTGATTTATAGATTTTCTCATGAAATCTTTATTGACTCAGAACTGCAACGTTAATTAAGCACATGCAAAGTATTAAAATAATAATTAGAAAAGGTTTATTTGTGGTAATATCTAGTTGTTCAGGTTGATCATCCCTAGATATAAAGGTAATTTTGATTCTCTTATTGTTCTTCAACTATAAACTTGACATTCCTGTTTTAGAATTTAAATAATCTTGAAACGTTTTTACATGTTTTTTTTCTCTGAATACAGTACAAGTGTTATCAGCATATTTTTTATAAACTAAAGGCATAAAATCAGATTGATAGGATTGCAACCAATTAGTTTTGTGATGAGACAAAAAGTAGCTGAGATGAGAGCAAGTGGTGAGTTGTGGCCACATCGTGAACTTGACCATATGTCCTGTTATTAAATGTAAAGTGAAATTATTTCATAGCAATTTTAGGAACTGATGTTTAGTTAAGTCATTTCTAATAAATATTTATTATAAGTGAAGAAACTGACAAATGAAAATAAACTCTGCAATTGAAGCTTCAAGTCCCAGTCCTGGAGTTTCTTTTTACTTATTGGCTTTTTTACTTTTATTTTAAGGTTTCATGTTCTGTTTTGTTTGAGCTGTTATGTAAAAGGAATCTTCACTATGTATTTTACTGTGATTCATTTAAATAAAGTGATTAACTGCTGTACACTCATGTAAATCATCTTTACTTCATTTGTTTAGCAAATGACTCAAAACATCATTAATCATTAAGATATTATTGTTATTGTACTCTTCATGAACACTGAGATTTAATTTTTCTTGAATGCTTTTTCACTGTTGAAATGAGTCGACTCTTCTACTGATGAACTTGAAATCTCTCTCTCTCTCTATATATATATATATATATTTGAATTTTGATTGGGTATACTAGACTGTTTAATGTAAGAGTTATTACTTAGTTCAATGAGTGATCTAATATTTAATAATTATTTATTTTTCATAATTCATGAACTATTTTTCTTCATTTTGTAGTGTACGTTTGAGTAAAACACCAGACAAGTCACAGCTTGGGAGTTTTGAAGTCTTGTAAGTAAATTAAGCTCATTACTTCATCTGTTTGATATTATTTCAATTTACAAACTTACTACACCTGATTATATCAGAATTATTAAATTTAAAATATGTATATAAAACTTAAAAGTGCAATCAAAATTTAATTGAATCACATGTATTTATAATCAACATAAAACTTGAGTTAAGTCAAGGAAATGTTCAAATACTTTAATGGTCATATAGTTTCTTGTTGTTTCTATTGGTAGTGGAAGGTACGTGGGACTTGTTTTGTATCCATTTAAACCATGTTTGATGATATAACTGCCACATGTTTTCTAGGTATGATGAAGAGCAAGCTGTGACAGAAGCCAGTACTGAAAAAGAAATGCTGGGAAAGCAACATAGAGATCCTGTAAAAACTAGTGTCAAAGTAAGAGAAAAGTCAGCCCCTAGATGGCGGTAGTATCTCACTTCGCAAATTTGTGAGAAGCACCATTTGAAACGTTTAGATATTAAGAAAATACATATAGATTATTTGCATTAAATTAATAATAATACAGTTATAATGTCTTTTACAGTATCCACTATGTGATGCAGTTTTTTAATGTTGTCCTGCGTATTGACGTGTTTATATATATTCATTTAGAAATAATTTATACTGTAAATGGACTAGTAGTGAGATAATTAAATTTTGTATAATAAATGTGTTTGTTCCACTATTATAATTGATTAATTCTAATCATAAAGTAATAACCTACCAATGTTGTATTACTTAATATCAATTGAGTTATTATATTATGTATTTCATAATGTTAGTCTGCTGGAAAAATTTAATAATCTTTACATTACTGAAGTAAACAACAACAACCTTTATTTGTCAACAACTGTCGTTAATGGAGGAGAAATATACTTCAAACTTTTGTTAATTAGTTTCATATTGTTTTAATTAAAAATTGATATTTATTTTATAGAAGTATACGTGTAAGAAAAGTCTTGACCAAATACAAATATGACACTAATTTTATGTTGTTTTTTAAGTCTTTTTCACGTTTGTGATTCATAATTTTCCAAAATATATTGAAGATGTTTCCTTCTTTCACTCAGTGAGTAGCACTTAACCCTATATCACGGTGGACATCAAAAAGTGCATCGTATGACCTTTTACAGAGTACTGTTCAACCATGTATTATGTATTATTTATTTTACCCTACAATACTGATTTAGTGACAGTTTGTCGTGAAGGAAAATAAGTAACATATACAGTGTATAGGGTTACTGAAATAAACTATAGATTCTAGAGGTTATGCACATAAAATGTGAACACTGTATGATATACGAAATAATTTGTATTCTTCATACATACAGTATCTTACACTCCAACTCACCAGAGTCTGAATCAGATTAATGTCAAAAAGGTGGATTGAATTTGGAAAGAAGACATAATGGCCTTTTAGATTTAGTTATTTTAATTCAATAATTTTATTTTTAAAGCCCTAATTTTCTTTACTTC